TCTTCAACGTGAATTCTCAGTTTCAGTGAAATCATTTATTTTAGATGATCAGTGATTTTGGACAAGCTACACTTGCCTGTGTGTCTTTTTCTTTTACTGTGTGGTTGTTTGAGTTCTGTAAGAGATTATGTAATCTGGCAGCGATTTCAGTTGTATTGTTTCTGCTTTAAATTGCTACAGGTGAGAATAAAAGCAAGTCATTATTCAACGTGGGAGAGATTACACGACTGATGAAGTTTCCAGGTGTGGCCCGGACTTTTGTTGTGAAGGTTGTCGCCGGTTTGCCATCAGGTGAGAGTTCATGTGAGAAGAGGTTCGGTTTAAGACATAGTTTATAGATGCTATACAGTATATTTAACACTTTTAATCCCAAATCCTTTCTACAAACATGAGTCCTGATGTTTCTGATTAGAGCCTGAGTGATATATCAACCCATATTGGCCTGTTGCAGACATACTGGTATCAGTGTATGTATATTATTATGTACAACTACAATTTGTGGACAATGTATATGTTAATTATTATTAACAACATTTAAATGTACTACAAAGAGCAGCCACTCGGTCAGATTTGGTCGGATTTCCTTTGAAATCAATTAAACGAGGTAGTAAAATTGCTCGATTTTAACTTTAATATTCTAAAAGTTACTTGTTTTAGAAAGCAGCCTTCTTTGCAAAAATTGGGATCAGTATTGGTCTCAAAATATCAGTCGGGCTGATGTGTTTGGTGGCAACTTATATAGTAACTGGTCTGTTCACTCTGGGTTCAGTAGAATTACATTTAATTAACATTGGACATTTTATGTAAGCACCAAAACTGAAACATAACAATTGCTCTTCTCCTTTCGAAGGCATTTTCCAGGTGATGTTTTCCATCATTGCATTGGAGTTCTTGAAGCTGCAACCTGAGCAGAACGGCTATCTCATGGCTTATATTGGCATCGTTCAAATGGTGAGTGTTCATTATGATTCCATTGCAGCTCAAGGTGATATTAGAGGAGGATCACTAAACTCTGGATGTTTGTTCAGGTTATTCAGGGAGCTGTGATCGGTCGGCTCACAGCGAGGTACTCCGAGAACTCGCTGCTGCTTCTGTCCATTGGAGTTTCTTCTTTGGTTGGATTGGCTCAGGTACACCAAACAAAACACACATACACACACACACACACACACACACACACTGGAACAGGATTTAAATATAGAGGAAAAATATATCAAGGCCAAATTTACTACATCCAGCTCTCAAAATGCTATTGCATGTGCATGTGGTACAATTAGTACAATAGAGGTAGACCAGCATTTAAAAAAAACATCAAATGCAGTGCACTTGCTTCAAGTGTTATGAGTGGTGTTTTGTATCGTAGGACGTATGTGTTATTTTAATCTTTCTGTCTGTCTTCCTGCAGGCTTACATGCAGAATGTGTTCCAGTTCTGTCTCATTGTGGTCCCGATGATGTTTTCTCTCAGTGTGTTTAATGTCATCACAGACAGCATGCTCACCAAGAGCGTACCGTCCTCTGACACAGGTAATGTCATTTGTCATTGTGTTTTTCTGCTTGCACAGCACACAAACTGACAGCAGCTAATTTAAGCGAAGGGAAGGAAAGAAGTATAACCTTAGAAAACTAAAGACAAGCTAAAGAAACAAGCTGAGCTAACGTTAGCTCAGCTTGTTTCAATGATAATTTAAGATCCAGACGTTCTGGAGGTTTTCACCAGGAGCTGAATTATCCGCAGAGGTCTCTTCCTCTCCAAAACAAACTAGTGACTAAAAGTAGAAAAAGCTCTGAGTAAAGGAGTTTCAGTGTTTCAGACGCTATTCGGCAGACAAAAGACATCCTGCTGCTAATCTTTTGTCAGCTTGTGTTGTCCAATAACTAAAATCCTTCATGTAGTTCATGTATCTAGTTAAAAACAACCAAGATCTAAAAAGGGTATCATAAAAATGTTGCTTAAAACTGGCTAAAAATCCCATTTATGACAGCTTCTGGCAGACAACCACAACCATTAACAACACAGCGTTACCTGAACATTGAACATTGTTGCAAACATTTGGGATAATGTTACATACAGAACAAAGGTCTAGTGTTTGTAGACGTTTTAATTCATTTGTTTACTGAACCCGCTTTGCTCTCGTACACAGGCACAATGCTGGGACTGTGTGCATCCGTCCAGTCTCTGCTTCGTACAGTCGGGCCGACTGCTGGAGGCTTCCTGTACGTGAACTACGGCATTTCCTCTATAGGTCTTATCCAGTTCGTTGTGAATATAGCTGTGTTTGTGCACCTGCTGCAGCGTCGCCTCAAGAAGACAACAGCGCAAAAGGAATGAGGTTGTTAGAAAAAAGCTTCTCCGTAAAATGAACAGAGGAGGATGGAAATCAGTGTTTGATTTTACGAACAATCATTTGTACAGTTACTTATATTTAAAAGTACTCTGTTGCAGTTTACATGATGAGATAAGGTCAAGTCAATCCAGTTCTTCATTATTCAGATTTATTTTAGTTTTGCTGTTTAAGCTGTGATTGAGGTTCAGGACCAAACCACTAGATGGAAGCAAATCCTCTATTTTACCTGATGATACTCTTATTTCTAGGGTTCATCATACTGAGATTTTATTAAACCTCATCAAATACTATGAAATATTGGACCAATCCATATTGCTCCAAATTGAGGATAGTTATATCAGAACAATTTTTAATATGTAATGAAAACATTTATTTCATTAAACTTTTTTTTTGTAACTCTCCTTTTGTACATTGATTTATTCAAAGGTAGTAACGAGCTGCTTTTGGATTCACTTTTATTTTACTGCGATTGTGTAAATGCTTGTTCAGAGAGTTTCCACCTTTGAAATAAATCTGTGTCATGGAGTATATAAATATAATGAATATTGTTAGAATATTTGATAGTGGAGTTCCTTTAAAAGCCAATGAGCATCTTTATTCATGTATTAAAACTATGGCATTGGACTGGAGTTATGCAGTTAAGAGACTTATATCACGTTGTTTATTTGCTGCTCAGTTTTATTGATAGTTGCAGAGTGTTTTCTCTTGAAGGAGACAGGACTTTGTGAATAAGAAACTAGCTAGTTAGCGTCCTATTAGGACAGGCCCTATCTGTAACCAGTGTTTGGATTGTCCGTTCTTGGCTAATGTAGAAACGTGGTGGTTAAACGTGGCAGACTCCGTAGTAGAGGATCTAGTGTAGATTAAAAACAGCTCATTCTCACTTAGCAAAAACACAATAATTCTTATTTTTAGGTGATTATGAACTAATGAAAACATGATAATTAATATTTCAATTCTGCCAATAGATCCTCCTACATGTTTTACACTGGACCTTTAAATAATTGTTTGAGTCCAAAAGAGGTAAAAATGATCCAATATTTCACAAAAGCAATTTACTTTTTTCTTATTCCCATCCCCATTAATCATCTCATGTCCCCTCAGATTTATCTTCACCCTTTCGAGGGCATAACAAGTATTTTAGGCTTTTAAATGCAGGACTTGTACTAGAATAGAGTAAATTTAGATTGTTTACTTAAATTAAGGATCTGAATACTTTGTCAACAACAACAAATGTATTAACAAATATGACACTATTGCAGAAAAACAAAGGACGTAGCGTGTGGACAAACAAATCCTTTAGTGTTAATCAAATTCTCGGTCATATTTATTTACAGTTCTCGGCTTCCTCCGTTGCCAAGCTGCATTATGTTGAAGTGATGTCACAAAATCTGCAGCAGGTGTTTTCATTGTTTCTGCAAATTACTCTGATTTGGAAATATTACATCCAACAATCCCAGATAAATATTATCTTACTTTAACAGTAGGGGGTCAGTGGCGTTACAGAGTTATGATTATGCACCAGGCTGCACCTTCAACAGATGTCCCTGGTCTGATTTCTTTGCCAGTTTTCTGGGCCAAATGTGTGATAGAATCAACCACACAAACAGATCTGTGACATTCAGATTACATCTTAAAAACTGTCCACAAATAAAGGGTAATTTTATTTTTATTTTAAATGTTTATTTTCAGTTAAAAATAGGAGAGAAAGAGTGTTTTGATCTCTACAACAAAACTGAAAGACTAAATCAAATTTAAGATAAAAAGGCAGAGACATTATTGTGGAATATGATTTTATTCAGATGTTTTAAATTAAGAAGAAATTAAAGCTGCAAGCAGCGATGATCGGCCCCTCGCGCTCACATGCGTGTGTCAGGGTATACTCATGCATCATGTGCCAGCGTATTGTGTGTGGACCACAACATGAAAAATGTTATCAAAATCGCCACACAAGGCTTGGCAGTAGATTGGACCATGTACACTGAAGTTATGAAAACTTCCTGTTTAACAACGAATTTTTTAAATTTGATGCCACAACACAGCATAAGCACAAAATGGCAGACTTCCTGTTGGGTTTGGGTTTTCTGCTTTTCTGATCATGATAACCCAATTTTCGTACATGTCAGTCATACATGTCCTGGGGGCTGATTCGGGGGGGCATGGCTAAGCCATTTTGCAACGCACATGCGTGGGAGAATACTTACATTTATGCAACGACTGAATTTTGTGCAAATTCTCATGAGTTTTCAAGCATTTTAAGTCCTCAAAAAATGCGATTCATTTGGTATTAAAATGATAATAAACCGAGCAAATATAATAGCATTTCACTTGCAATAAGACACAGATACCAAAATCCTGACAGACAAAATAATGATGATATAATCCTACACATGTAAGGACAGTGGTTCAGACAAAAGTCAAGGTAATCGTCACGCTAATTTTATTCGAAAACTAAAAGCGAGCATATTGGAAGGATATATTTAGTAACTCTTTAGTTGGCAGAGTGCGTCTGCACCTTTAATGTGATCAGCCGTCTCAGTGGCAATCCCATCATCTGAGCCTGATCCCACATTCGCTCATTTCCCGCTGTAGTTTGAGTTGTCAGATTCGTCTGCGTCGCTGCAGCTTCTGACTTTTTATGCTCAGCTTGTAAAAATAAACCAATAAATAAATAAATAAATAAAAATAAGACACTTGGCTCTTGAATCTTCTCTTGTCTTTCTGTCTGACTCACAGAGACTCAAAAGGAGCTGTAGATGGATTTGAAGGGTGTCACTGTATCTGTGGACTCAGGGGGGGCGGCCCTGACCACTGGAGGCGGTGCCTTGTTACACTTGGCCCTTTGAGTCAGGGGGAGCCGGGACAATGCTGCTGTTAACACTCCTGACGGGGACCTTTGGGTTCTCTGAAAGTTTAATGTGACTCTGCAAGCGACCTGCGCTCGCTGAGGTCAGAGATGAGCGCGTCCCGGCGGCGGTCCAAGGTTGCCCTGTGTTGGTGCATTGGAAACTAAACGCCAGCGGGGGGGCCCCATCGGGTCCTGGGCTTGTTTTGTCCCCCGTGGCATGGATAATGAGGCATCTGTCTCCACCTGCCCGCATGGAGAGATGAGGCTCACTGTCTCACTTAAAAAGAGCACAGGTTACCTATCTGATTTGTCCAAGGCGGGACAAGGGACATGATCTGAAGCAGAGGAGCCTCCAGTCTAAATGTTTTATACCGCCGCTTTCTTATTTCTCTTTGTGCTGCACCACACGAAGCTCCTCGTCAGGAACACTCGGTGTCTTGTTGTTAGGTGCATCTTGAAAATTACAACCTGAATTCAATCAAACATGAGGCAGTATCGCCAAAATGTAATCGCTCTTCTCCAGGAAAGTCGGACTTGTTGTATTAAAAGTTTGAACATTACTTCAGTAATAAACAATTTTAACGACATTCCCAGATATAATATGAACGTGACGTGTGTGTGACAGCAGCTCAGCATGGTCACAACCTCACCCCCCCATCGTCATCCTCTCCAGCGGACCTCGTGGAGCTCGTGGAGTTGGCCACAGGAACGAAAGGTGATCTTAGGGGGGTTTTGTCTTGGTGTAATCAGACAGCGACATCATCAATCATGAGAGGGTGAATTACAGCGGGTTACAATGGGAGATAAGATAATGAGTGGGGCCACAGCGACCTGCTGAGGGACAGCTCGAGTTCCCGTCCTGATTACATGGCAGCGGCCTGACTGACTGCAGAACCTGCTGAGGGCTGCACAAATCCAAGATGAAGAAAACACACATTTTGGTCCAGCTGTACCATATTGAAAGTCACATTTATTCATTAAAATGTCCATAAACACTTGCTATATATTTTGTTGAGTTGTGTATTTTTCCAAATGTTTCCAAAGTGTGTTCAAAGTCAAGAGAAATCTGTCATTTCATTCAGGTAACAATTGTCTGAAGCTGTTTTTAAATTTACTTTTTTTAAGCCACATTTTTACAATACACTTTTAAGATCATGGTCCTTCTTAATTCTTAAATTCTTCTATATTATTATTAAATCTATATTATGTAATGAAGTAATGAAACTGGTGTGGAAATCAACTGTAGGCAACAGCGATAAATTCAAACTATAGAACCAGTAGATGGAGCCTAAATTATCAGTGTTAGTGCAGTTTAAAGGATCTTATATGAACATACCCAACAACAGTGAGATCAGGGTTCAGTCCACAGCATTGAGACGGTGTCTTGGCCCATAAAACACAATTAACACCTCCTGCAATATAACAACTTCCCTCCCACAGGTGTTTCCACTCTTATTCTACCTGATTAGACCGCCTCTCCTCCACTCAGGACTGTGTGGGTCTGCTCTGATTGTGCTCCTTCACTGAGGCCTAGTCAGCAAGGTCACTGAAAACACCTGTGCAGGTGTGCAGGGCTTTTAAAATCAAAAGAGTTCATCCTTTCAAGTAGAAATCTAGGGTTCCCTGGAAAAGCTAGAAATTAGAAACTAGAAAAAAGACTAGTTTTCCGGTCATTGAAAAACCTGGAGAATGATTAAAATAACCAAATATCCTGGAAATATTCTAAGTTGTCCTGACCTCAGATTAACCAAGAATTTTGTTTCAGACTTGAATGTTGGTAGGATAACCTGCTCACTACAAAGTGGAACCAACTTGCAGCAATCATTCAAGCCCTGCATAATTAAAAACGGGAATAAAACTTAAATGAAATGTGTGAACAAATTATGTCCTGTATTGTCAAGAAAACAATACAACAACAAAAAAGATTTTTTGAAATGAGTTGGAGCCCTAAATTTATTATAATGTGTTTACTTGAGAGGAAACCATCAAGGTCCTTCAAGTTTTATGCCTTATTAGATAGTAGTCAGTAGAGAGATTACAGGATAGCGTTGTGCTTTCCGAAGCAGGAGTTCGAACATGTCGTGTAGACAGGCCTCAAGGAGAATGACAGTAGCACAACTGGTTGCCTAGACGTCTAACACTGTGTCTCCGCAGAAGGTTTTTCTAGAGTTTTCTTGTTTTATGGTCACAGAGACACCATTCCCTTGGCAACGAGGGATGGTAAGAGTCAACAGTTCGAATTTGTGCACAGTCAAGAAGCGATTGCACCGATTAAAAAAGTGTGCACATTTTTGTTGGCTAGAATTCTTAAATCTAGCATAAAAATATAGCCACTGAAAGACTGTAATGACAAAGTTGTGCTTATTACAAGGAATGAAAACTCTGTTATTTAAGATAGACATTCTTAAAATAAATATTTTGAGCTGAATTTAAGATCTAAGATTAATAATGATTCAAAAAGTCTTATTATAAGACACAATTTCTTTAAACAGCAAAATAAAAATCAGTGACTTTTAAATTAATGAACCAGAAGCATATAAACTATATT